GCAGTAGCAGTAGCAGTAGCAGTAGCAGTAGCAGTAGCAGGAGTGCATGGTAGTAGCTGTAGTAAGAAGTAGCACTAGCAGTAGAAGTAGCAGTAACAGTATTATTATAGCAGTATGCAGCAGCACTAAGCAGCCGCAGCAGCAGTAGTAGTAGTAGTAGTAGTAGTAGTAGTAGTAGTAGTATATAGTTGTAGTATTACAAACTAGTTTTTTCACCAATATATCACCCAGCTAAGTTTAAAACAGGGTGTGGTGCATATCAACTAGAGAAAATCAAGGATTGTAAAAGTGTAAAACACCAGGAATAGTTTTATATTCATGGACATTGGCAACAACGCAAACAAGAGATAGACATCCCCAAACAGTTTGTATAGTTCCTGTTTAAATCACAAAAATGACGCTGATTGGTGCTTAGTATCGACGCTCTAACCAATTAAGCCCGACTTCTCTAATATCCCACATGACGGCATAAGTGTAACAAAGATCCTTCAAATTAGTCTAGTTCAATGACGTTATCTTATTTTTTTTTCGAAGAAATTTTAATTTTAATTTGCTCTTTAAAGAAGCAAAGCTGCAACCAGGATTTGGAGCCTAAGGGGTTTGTGATAAGTCCAGTGCTTCCATTCATGAATTAAACAAAACGGTTTCCTATAGGAGACAACAAAGCCTTAGGGTCGAGGGCTCAGTGTTTCTAATTGAACAAAAACCGGCAATTAAAGTTTTGCCCTTGTAATCTTCGGACTACGAGCCCAAAATCTCAGAAGTGCGTTGTGCAGCTATCATATTAAGAGAGCACATTATCAGAACGGAAAAATGTGTGCTGATAACCGCCATGACCTGCCAATTAAAGAAATCTTCAAACTTGTCATATAAATCCTCCATCAGACTCGATGCTAACCAAGAGGCCTTTTTTGGAAACCACTCATATGTAGTTGGTCGGTACTAATGTGTATGGAGATCGACCTGACTGCGTTCTTTTTCATGTCTCGAGGCAAATTACGATAAAAAAAGCGGGTGGAACTCAGAGTTCTCTAACCAGTATTTAAGCCGCGTCTCATATGCTCAGTCTTAGTAGAAGTATCAGATGAACTAAACGTGTGTGCCGGGGAAATGTATCGCCGAAAAAGGCGTGCAGCATTCATCATTCTCTGCTTAGTTTTCAAAAGATCTGCCAACAGGATAGACACGCGCCATTAAAGCTTCATTCCACTTAACACCGAATCATCTTTACATTCAGGTAAATACATTATTATCATTTATTTTGATTTAGAATATTCTCCTTAGCAATCCTAAGATGTCAGTATGGGCTGCTAATATATTTTTGAAGTTCTATCGAGCCCAGGAATACCTCAACGCACAAGAGATGGGCTGATAGCCTTGAGACACTCCGAACTAAACCTCGTCAATTCGTTGCGCAGATCTGTAGTAGGCTTTCTACGAGTTTTAGCCCGTTTGTTTTTGAAGTTAAATCCAAGTAATCAGCGCATAGTTACTGTTCAAACCTATTGTACATAACTCAGACCGGATGCATATCACATAAAACAATTTTCACTTTGTTCATAACCTATACAATTGTTACTTTTAACAAATTCAAAACAGACTCAAAAGAAAATCGCAGAGATCAGTACTAAAACATAAGACGATTCACTTAAGCGAGAGAAAAAAAAGTCAGAGATTTCACGGTTTAGTCCTCGGTGTTATCATAAAAGCCACATCTCTCTCACGTATTTAGCGAGAATGTGAAATTTCGTCCCAAATTGGAAAAAAGTTCATCGATCATCCTTAATTATCATTGACCGCTGGTTCAGATGTACTTGCGGCGAGCGCAGTTCGATCGCGGCTACTTTGAGGTTGTGCAAAAATAAACTCCAAGTTCAGAGATGTTAACCCGGGTGTCATATAATAATACGAACGCGAAAACATGCACACTCGAGAGAAATTGAAGAAATTACTTTGTTTGCGCGCGATTTGAAGCGCGGATGAAAATCGAAACTCCAAATAAAATATAAAGAATTTCGACGCACGTTTTAAATCTAACTAGAAAAGAGATCCCGTTCTGTGTTCATGCGCAGAGTGGCTTGTTGTTTATATAATCACAACCATTCCCTAGGCCTGCATTACCGATAAGGATTTCCATATCCATCAACATCTTCGACACTAAAGTTTGTATCAAATTGTTGCCATTTAATCATCCAGAGAATCAGTCGTTCTTCTTTAATTTTTAGCAAAGTTGATATCCGTCAATATAGACAGCGTTTCAATAGCAAAAAACTTTTGTCCGTTTGCATGCATTTTCAAGAATGGTTTGAAGATTGCTTATGGCTCAAGTCAGTGTACAAAAGCTCAGTTTCAGAATGTGCATGGGAAAAATAGGTTACGGAATAATGTTAAGTGTCTCCAGACGCATCCCTATATCACCGGCTTTTCGCGCAGTCTTTCTTCCTGATACTCGAAAGAAACGCGTTTGAGGTTTTTGGACGCTTTGTAGTTATTCGAAAGTCTCTTGCAAAACGTAAAGGAATTTCAAGAAATTGTTAGTGTTTAAAAGTGCTCACTTATAATAAAAGAGAGTTTGGTGCCTCAGAAATGATAGAAATCGATTCTCAAGCTAAGATTTCTTGTTGCTCACAAGAAGAATGTCGGCAATTTTATACATGTTAGTCGTAGTTAATGGGCGATATCTGTAAGCTAATAAGCTCATTTTTAAGCCGTTTAGAGAGGTAACTGAGCTTATTTCGGAATTTGAGAATGAAGTTATTCTTTGGTCGAGAGATTCCAATCGTTGTCTCAAAACTGGCGCGTGTATGATCGGAAATAAATTTGAAGCACTTAAACTACTCTATCGTCGACACTTTATCAGCTCTAAACAATAAAGGCAACAAACTTAAAGACCTGGAACTGAAGGTCGTTTAGAGACCTCTATTTCGTTCTTCCATTGCTCAATAGGAAACGGACGGAAAAAGGGGTCAAAAGTGGATCGGTTTATACATTATTGCACGTCGAAGTACTGTAGAAAAACTCACTTTTATTAAAAATATTTTCGATGGGACATCATTATGATTTCACGAGTGATTCCGTATAGCTTTTCGCCACTGCTCTCAATGAACACATATTTCGATCAGTTTAGAACAATCTTTAGCTAATACCATTTATGTTTTTAATGAAAAACATTTCTAACCCGGAACTTTACTTGGAAGACCAATGCCAAGGTTGCTTACCATTTTCCCAGAAAAACCGGAAATTCCGGTTGGAAAATAAATGGTATGTATCATTCCAATAGAAAAGTTATGGAAAACTCGGTCTTCCGATTGGGTAATACGTTTTTCCCGCTCTTTTCGGTTCGTAGACGCGTGTACCATTTTTCGCATCTCACTGAAGTTTCCCGCTCTTTTCTTTCCATTAGCGAATGAATGTCCAACCGGATGGATTAGTTTAAATGGTAAGCACCATTAGTCTTGGGTAGCTCTAAATACGAAACATTAGTTAGATTCTATCCCACGAAGATCATAATTGTCTCATTTAAGGTTGATCTCCTTCATAGGTCGACAAAATATTGGGACTCTTTTGGAATCTTTGTGTAGTTGACAATTTACCGATGTTTGGCATGGTGGTATGTTGCGAGGCAGGGTGCACGAACTAATGAATTGAACACATTTTACTTTGGAAAACTTCTGAAAAAAGTTCTGTGTCTTAAAGCAAGTTTCCTCAAGAGACAAATTTTTGCAACCATTCATTGAGTTTCCCTGAAACTGACAAATATTCAAATTGATAAGATTTATTTTAAAAATATGTGTCGCTTAAACTGAAGCTTATCATAGAATTCGCAAAATCCGGCTGACTAGATTTTGCATTGGATGTTTCCAGAAGTTCACTTACTAGATCAAGCCGAAGTGTCTAGTCGGCCGTGGCATGGTTGAGTGAACGCGGATGATCCTGCCATCCGACCACCTCACCTATTATATATTGCCTGACCCTTCCATAACATCTTGGTCAGTCGTGGCCGGTCTTGAAAGGTCGACCGATGATCATAATCCTTCGACCACCTGATCTTTTTATCATATCGTCTGATCTCTTCATGATATGGTGGTCGGTGGTGCTGAGAGAATCGTGAGATATATGTGGGAATGTCACCTCAGGCCTTATCACAACGCTATAATCCGATGTCTCGTTATATGAAACGTTCGCTTTACCCTAATTTACGTCCGTTTTCACTTCGCCTTTTTTGCAGCAAATTTTACGGCATTTCGTTGTCACTTATCTAAGTTTTTTTCTTCTAAAAATCGTGCTCATTTGCCTAGTAAATTGTCTTTATTTTGATTTGTTTTTAAGTTGTCTATTTTTACTCTGAAGATAGATAGGTGGCCGTGATGGGGTCGTTTCTCGCCCGTAGTGTTTCGGTCAGGCGTAGGTAAATAGTATCTAAACGAAAGGCGTATTTTCGTATTTTTTTATCTCGTTATCAGGAATATATATGATTTGAATCGTTATTCCTCTTCTCTAGTATTCCTTCACTGCATCGAACTTATCGTTCGATTAGAAATCATTCCGATGTATGAAACTACTAACTATACGTACCAAGCCCGCCATAACTTGCGTGTATCATCTAATACAATCCATACTAAACACACATCTGTATTATATCTGTAAGTCCTGTCAAATGCTCGATCTCCAAATATTTTTTACGATAATTCCTTTATCTTTTTCTGGAAGAACTGTGCGTTTCACTTTATCCAACTCGAGAGGATGAATTCGCACATAGCTTCACTAAACATTGTTTTTTTAAAAACACTTAGTATTAACAAAAAAATATTTATCGTAGTTCATATCATAAACAAAGTAGTGCGATAACCCAGGACACATAACTTAATCAGGGTGTTTAACTTGATAAGTCTGTTAAACGCTGACTTAGATGGCAATCGCATTCAACCAGAGTGAAACGTTTTTCCGCCAGAGGAGAGCCGCAAATGTACCTAGCCAATAATGAACTCATTTGCAAATTAAATTTTATTAGCATTTTTCGGCTTCACTCATTTTTGGGCTGGGTTGTCTTGCGAATTTATCACAGAAAACAACTTTTCTTTTATCCGAAAAACGAACAACGACACAGTTTCTAAATTCTATGTGAGCTACAATGCTTTTTTTCCTTTTTGAGCGAGTACTTAATTAATGCGTCTGCTGCTTTAAGTTTTATACAGGCAAAATTGTTGCAAAATAAAGATCGTTGTGAAAGAAAAAAACACACAATAAAATAAATAAATAATTAAAAAGGTCTTCGAAATTTCTTTGAAGATGCTAGCAAAACTTCACTTTATTTTAATGGAATTTTAATTGGTTAATGTTATCCGACCCGCCAGCACTAATTACACTATTTACGAGTTGTCTGCGTTCTGCTTGGAATGCTCAGTTCAATCCAATGAATTAGATTTTATAATGCCGACATTCAGAACTAAACTTTTGCGATCTGTGATTCATTAAAATAAATGAGAAGGGGTATAATGAAGGTATTAAATCACATAACCGAAGCAGATGACGAAGCTAGGAAGGAAAATAATATGTAGTTGCAAGCGCGTTGTGAATTTTCTCGAAAAACCATGGTAGTTTATATATATACATATCCCTTTTTATTGTATATAAACGTAATTCAGCCTATGGCTGCGATGTTTTATCTATCTAGTTGATGTTCAGCGTTTCTGCTTTCAATCCGGAAATAGCCATTATTCTTTTAAGCTTAAAAGACGGCTATTGTGCAAATCATTTTCCGCTTTAGCTAACCAGACACGTGTACTCTCCACACTCAAAGTGTTAAGTTGAAATTATTAATAATAATATTGGTAATAATAGTTACATATTTTATTATTATTATTATTATTATTATTATTATTTTGCTTGTATAAAAAATCTCCGTCTTAATTCGATAGTTTTTAAAACTTTTTCTATTCGCGCCTTGACGCACAGAACGGCATCCACGTGACCCGATCGACTCATGTCAAGTGTTGGAGCGTAGTTTGAACTTTTTAGATTCTCTTCATTGACCATTGACATCATTAGTGTAAAAATGGCACAAAAGGCATCATCTTAAAAAACCCTATATTACGTTCTTGTGTATTTTTGTCTAAACTGACTGAGCCGTCTTCGAAATGCGTTCTGTGAAAGCTTAGGACTGAGCTGTGCATTGTTGATACCAAGATTTACTACTTTCGGCGCGAACTTCAGTTTTATCGGACGGGTGATCAAAGT